TCATTGTCTTTCCTGGTTTCTATGGTCAGGAATTGTCTTAGTCCATTTTTGTGTTCTGTAACAGGATACATGAGACTGAGTAATTTATAAAGAAAAGAGGCTTATTTGGCTTATGATTCTGGGGCAACTTATAAGAGAATACCTGAAACTGGGTAATGTATAAAGAAAAGAAATTCATTTTTTACAGTTTTGGAGGCTGGAAGTCCAAGGTTGAGGAGGTGCATCTGGTGAGGGCCGCCTTCTTGGTAGGGGCTATCTATGGAGTTCTATAGTGACGCACAGTATCACATGGCAAGAGGCTGAGGAAGAGCATCTTAATGTGCACATTTGGTCTCCTTATAAAGCCACCAGTGACAGAAAATGGACTAATACAACCAACCCACATATCTCACTCAGGAATTCCAGGTGTGCACTGTGATTCTTCTCCAAAATGAGGATCCTTCCCTCCTAGGTCACATACCCTAGTAGATAGAGAGGTCTTCTCCAACAGCCTTTCCCATGACCCACAGGTGGGTGTCCCAAAGGGGGAGCCCGGGTCTCATAGCACTGGGTCCAGGTAGTGATTCAAGAGCAAAATAGTGAAGAAGCCACCCACCAGAGTGTCAGCTGAGTGAGCCCAGGGTCATGCCAATATATTTGCTGCTCTCTAGAGTAAAGAAGAAGTAATTGGGTGGCCTTTGTGGCTGGTGTGAGTGCAGAAATATAGTCTGAAGCTGGACAACACTGACTTGTTTCTGCCCAATAGAACACAGCAAGGTATTGTATTCTTATCCTGAATAAGAATACAGGATAAGGAGATAGTGTTATGAATGAGTTTATGTTAACACATTTGATAACTTAGATAAAATGAATAAACTCCTTGAAAGACACACAAAGTACCAAAGCTTACTCAATAAGAAATCAATAAACCGAATAGTCCTAAATCAATTAAAGAAATCAAAACTGTAGTTTAAAAACTTCCCACAAGGGAGAAAACTCCAGGCCCATATGGGTTCACTTGTGAATTCTAACAAATGTTTAAGGAAAAAATAGTACCAATTTGACACAAACTCTTCTAGAAAATAAAAGAGAATGGAATACTTCTCAACTCATTCTATGAAGCCACGATTACTACCTAAACCAGACTAACATTACAAGAAAAATACAGACCAATATCCCTCATGAACACAGATATGAAAATTATTAACCACATCTTAGCAAATAGTATCCAATAATATATTATGAGGATAATATATCCTGACCAAGTAGTGTTTAGCCCAAGAGTGCAAGATTGTCTTAATTCTCCCCAAATTGATCTATTCCAATCAAAGTCAACTCCAGTTAAAATCCCAACAGACCTTTTGAGGGGTAGAAATTGAAAAGCTGATTGTGTAATTTATGTGGGAATGTAAAGAACTTAGAATAACCCAAACAACTTTGAGATAGATGAAGTTGGAGAACTAAAATTACCTAAGGTCAAGACTTGTTATAAAGCTACAGCAATTACAACAGTGTAATATTAACATGACGAGATAAATAGATCAATGGAATACCACAAAGAATCCAGAAATAGACCCTCACATATACAGACACCTGATTTTCAACAAAAGCAATAGAGTTGTGGAAGAATAGTATGTCCAACAAATGTACTGGCAAAGGTTCAGTGAGCTTTAAGACATAACACTTAAAATTACCCAATCAGAACAGGAAAAAAAAAAAAAA